GACCAAAAAAGAGGACACCACTATTAAATATAGACTGTACGTCTTGTCAGAGAACACTTTCTGAGCTGTCACCTTTATTAATTTAGCCTGTCTACAAGGTTTCTGAGAACCAGTGAGCACAGCCATAAAATCCAACCCAGCCTACAAGCCCATTTCAGGCCAACATATCAAAGTCTTATTTTATATGAAACTCTGACAGCTGTGTCTGGGAAATAGACATAAGGACCGATCGCTTCTAATAAGAGACATAGTCAGATGCACTGGAGGGAGTAAACAAAAGTACGGCAAAATGTCACTTCTCTTATCAAACTAACTATACGATCCTAGTAAACACTCCCTCAATTTTTAATAAAATATCTATCTGGCACATCTGTCGATTACCACAATCATTTTGACTTGTTTCCTTGTACTTTGACAAGAATCAGAAAACCCACTCACACAAAACCCACCTTTTTTTACTTGTTGTTCTCATATTTGAAAGTAAAACATACGAACGGTTATGGTGTATGTTCTCTCGTGTCTGTCGCATCCTAAGGCTGGCTTTACACAGTGAAACTCTGCAACTTTAGCTCTTTGAAACCTAAAGAAAACTAAATTGTACATGAGTTGCGCAATGTAGAGCATCCTGCAACTCACCTGAAACTTGTGAAACAAGTTTTACGAAATAGCCAATCAAAAGGCATACAGTGCATTAAGTGATCCCGCTAAATGACAAACTTTGAAGCCACTGCTTTCACAAGAAAAAAACAGAAGATAGCTTTACACAGAGCTCAGATTCAGAAAATTATTACACAAGTGGAAACAGAGATGCAGCCCAAGATGAACTTGTTGGGCATCTAGAACAGGATGACTGAGACATCAAGTGGATTGTAACGGCTACCTAAGCATGAACTTTGAAGACTTAACATACTCAGAACAGATAAAAAAACTCAAATATACAGTAAAGAGCCCTAAACAGATAGACAAGGGACAAATATGTAGGCGCAGAAAAAATAATGGCATTGACGGATGGAAAAATTATACAAAGATAATGATGATGAGTGCTGCAAATATATTAATTATACCATATAGCAAGAATGATACAGTGTATCAAAAAAATTACTTGTCTCACTAGTGCAATAATTGAATGTGTTGTGTGAAACTTTCAAGTTGCATGAAAATTATGTTGCAGTCAATTTACAACATTGCTAGTTGACCTAGACCTGTACTGTTAAGAGTGTAACAGTTGTTTTAATTTTGCATTACATAGTTACATATTCCAAATGTTTATTCATTCAATTCAGCAACTGCCTATTGGCTTCTACTATAAGCTAGTTTGGAGTTAACAGGTGTTCTATTCTTATCTAAAGCCCACACCAGACATGGTAACCTTTCACCACAGACGTGTGTAACACAGCACTGCACTGGTAATGAGCATGAATTACAAAAATACACAAACACTGATAAACAAATGAACAATAGTTTTAACTCTTTCACAAGCTGTTAGAAATCCCCTTGTGCAGGTAAATGTTAACCCGCATGCGAACTCTCTTTCATCTTCGATTCTTCTTTCTCCTCAGCAACAGATAAAGAGCAATGATTCTCTAGATCTAGAAGCACTGTAGAAATAGCTATACATCAAACAGTGAGAAAGCTAGGACCAGTCACGGCAACAAGTCAGCTTTTTATTGATGATCGTATTTATATAGTTATGCTCAAATGTCTTCTACGTAAAGAGTATTTAGGCAACAAACAACATTTATATTGCATGAAAATGCAATGCAAACAGAAACCGCTCTTGCCTCTCAGTGTGTGTTGCATCTGGTGTGTATCATCTGATTGTGCATGCTGCACTGCTTCTGGTGAGAAATCAGCTTAGGTATAGGAAAACCTGTCTGTAAACCTGTGGAAATATTTGTCTGTGATGATTAGGTTGAAAAACAATGGATTGTTCTTTTAAAATTAATATGCTTTTAGGAAATTGAGCCTTGACAGATACTGCACTGTTGTGAGAATTTGACCCTGAGCAGTTTGCGAAACTGTTTCTGTAGTAACAATCAATAAAAACAGATCAATGGCAGATTTAAGAGCATCAAACACATAACCACTTCCATCCCGTCACATACAGACCTTTAAAACCAATAAAAACATTGATTCATCTTGCATTTCTGTACCAGAGTAGTCCATAGGCTACCTGCTTTGGAAATCAAAACAAATTTGGAGTGAATAATACGCCATGAATATACAGCACGTACAAACTAACTCAAAACCCAAGATTCTGTCAGTCATATAATTATATGAAAATAACGTTTGTATTAATGATTAAAAATATCTTTAAAATGTAAACATGCTTCCAGCCCAACCTAAACCAAGCATGTTTGTTACTTGCATTCCCATGAATGGCCTATAATAAGCTCACAAACATGAGTACAAACATGAACAGCACAAGCAGGTGACATAATCAGCTTTGTTGACGAAAACAGGACAAAAAAAACACATGACCTGCTGATGCCCACAGTAAAAATGCAATGATACAGCCAGATGGTCCAAGTACAGTATACAGCCAACAGGTCCCTCCAGCATTGTGCTGAGGGCTGGGGTACAGTCCAATGTTAACAGAATGGAGCTGGAGCAGATTCCACCAAGGCCATCTGCTCCGCCCGGCAGCTAAGAGCCGTGGGGCGCTGGGACTGAGCACACTGCCCGTGGCTACACTGCAGTTATTCATAGATTTACACGCCCTGTGTTAGCATTCTGAAGGTAGAGGGTGCTTTTAAAGGTGATTTGGAACCTAGCGCTTTTTATACTGATGCTAATGTAGACAAACCATTCAAACAGCTCTGACTTGAAGGAACAGTTTGACCAATACAGTCGATCTCCAAACATACCTTTGCTGATTGATTGCATTTAGGAATTCTTTTAATTTTTGCCAAACTATCATATATAACCTCAGATAATCAGTGGTGACCTGAGATTTTTATTTTCCCAGTTGGATCCCTGTCCAGTCTTTCAGATTCTATGCTAAAGCACAACATAGATCCACAGAATGTCATTTTAAGAACACAGGCTGCACTGTCACGCAGACAGAGCCACCAACAGGCGCAGATACTAAAAAAGGAATTCAAAATAATACAGCATTCCTGTTCCTGGCATTCTGCCACTATGATAAGCTCTCATGTCAACATGATGCCATGAGGCTCGGTGCAGGGATGTTACATTTCATGAGCACAACAAATCTAGAATAGAATTCAGACAACAGCACGGTGGCTTATGACCAGAGAAGATGCTCATCTGTCCATACAGGCATGGGCCAACCTATTTTTTAACATCAGATAAACAGCTCATATCACTGTATAAGAATCCAGATATATCGCATGTGCACTTTTCCTATAAATGTATTATATCACCCATGCCACTGCATGACAACAGAGATGCTTAACTTGACTGAATCTAACTCTATTACAATCAACGCAAAAGACAGTTTTAATGACTTCTTCTTTACTGATTTGAATTTCACCAATCACAACACTCCTTTCAAGCAGTAATAAACTATAATAGGTTTTGTCCTGATCGCAGCCGAAGTCTATGGTAAATTATGGCTACTAAACAAAAGATTTTGGTGAAATGTAATAAAACAGCAACGGATTTCTTCAAATCCAACCCAAGTACAAGCAGGCGTTGTGTGCAATACTTGGTTATGGTAGTGGGGAGCACTGATGCCTGGCCCCATTTTCCAAAAACAAATGGCGCAGTCCACACACACAGGTGTGCATCCATACTTTCCTACTTTCCCGCAAGCAACAGATATAGGTCAGCTTATCAGTCAGTACTCTCCATTAAGGCTCAAACTTGGTTAAATCAGCCGTATTATCCCTAAATGACCCAGATTCACAGTTGAGTGAATGTAGGCCATCAATTTCACCAGTAAACAGCAGCAGTGTTAAACTGCCGTAATGAATTTGTTCCTCCATAGAACAGCTTCGATTAATGCTGCAGTTACACTAGAAAATTCTAGTTTGTGTTGCATGGTGAAAAAGACATGACCAAGGTGAGACCAGGAGATCAGTACCTTTAGCAAGTTAGTTAACCAACTAAAGACTACAAACACAACTAATCCAGTCTCTTGACTGACTGCATACCCTGCTGCCTGCCTTTTATGTATTAATTTGTAGCTGGTTGGAAATATAAATAGTAGCGTCCTCCATTTTACATCTTCAGAGCTTCTATAAAAAGAACCGCCCCTTCAGAGGTTAACACAGCCAAAACAGTTGTGCTACTGGTCGATGCTGCAATTTCGTGTGACAAAATTCCCTGAAGTTGAACTCCACAAACAGTTTCTTCACAGAAGCCTGTGATTGAAACCATTTGTTGTGGCAAACTCTACGGAAATGTATGTAATTTTGCTTGCAAATTTTTGTTGACAAAAAAGCACTTTACCTTATTCAGCTCACTATTGCTATTACACACAGCCCACTTTTACTGGCTCAGAAACCAACCAGGACTCAAAAACGTTCTGAGTTTTGTGGTCAAGAGACTTGACCACATTTAACACAGGTTCAAATGGAAAGCATTTCCTATATCTGCATACAAATATATAAGCAGAAACGTGACTGCAGAGTCCCGACTAGCAGGTAAGAGGATAAAGAAGAAAATGCAAGATGGAGGATCCACAAGGCTGGAGTTTTCCTGAAACTGAAGTGATTTGTATTGTAACGGGGGAAAAAAAAATGGAAGTCTAGCACAAACAACGTATGTGCTGATGCGCTTCTAAAGTGGAAAAGTAAAATCTGATCTGGTCGGACTTGGGGTGCATTTTAATGAAAAGTGTAAATGGAATCTGGCCAAAGTACATCCAGAAACAATCCAGACATGAAACACATGTTAATGCAAGGTGTAAACAGCCTTAAAAGGCTGTACTAGTCATGCTAGTAAAGGGCCCACGCTAGATGTTTGAAAATGTTACGCTAGATGTTTGTAGTCACTGTTGAGACAAACAGCTGAAGAGTTTTTTCATGTCTTACCTTGTGCCTGCACTTGAGCACGACCCCATATGCTCCTGCATGAAAGAGAAAGAGAGAGAGAGAGAGAGATGAGAAAAACTGCAAACTGTTTTTTTGACTGTCAGTGACACAGTGACAGTTATCATTGTATTATATTAGTTGCTTATTAAATAACCCATATAACCATCATCAGGGGTCAGGTTCTCCTTCACATCTGTCAAGCACACACATAAATTTGTATCTTTGTCTTTGTGGGGTCTTTCCATGTCCTACTGCAGGACTGTACCTAAATGCTGCCATACATTGCAGCTACTCAATACTAAGCTTAACTTCATAATTCAAAAGATCACCTCTGACCTCTTTCAATTTTAATTCTAATAAAACCTTAAATTTGTGTGTGTCTTTTTAAAAGCATTTTTTTTCTCATAGGAGCATGGAGAAATGTCCCCACAATGTTTTCAATAATTCTGGGTGCATTCATATAAAAGTGAAATATATTGTTAGATGTTTTCAGTATATCACAATATATAAATATTAGAATGATAAGTAAACACTAGTGAAATGTGTTAACACCTTTTTCTGGTTTGACAGTATTCCAGGCTGAAGCCCAGCTGTTCACGTTTTATGTTGCTTTGATAGAATTTGATAGAAGTCATAATCCTCTCATTCAAATGCAACTTTTAAATGGCTCTAAAGAGGTGTCAGAACTACTGACTGCATACAATATATACAAGAGTTTCCAAAACCTGGAGTTCAAAAGTTGATTAAAATATATAGAGAAAATAGGTATTACTTAAGTATTACTTAAAGCTTCCAATGTTGAGAGAGAGGAGAAAATCAAGCTCCACTGTTGCTTCAGATGTAAAAAATCCACAAGTATTTCTGTCCATCCTTCCACTGTGAGAAGACAACTCAACACTATGAGTCTGAAAAGATATGTAGCTGCCAAGAAGCCCTCACTGAGAAAAGGAAATAGAAAAAAAGGACATTTGATAATCAAACAAAGAAGAACAATGGACTGACCACCCCAGAGTCCAGATCTCAAAATGCCACCATTTTCTAAGATTGAACTTCGGAGGTGCGGAAAAATATCCCTGCAGATTTCTTGGAAAAACTGAAAGTAAGCCTCCTGAAAAGAACGGACTCTATCATAAAGGTCTAAAGGCGCGAAACACTGAGCAATTTAATATTATATTTGATGAAGTTTGGTCTCTGTCTTTTGCCCAGTACTGTGTATAATATATACATTAGTTTGAACATGCAGCCACTGTTGCCGTCACTGGATGTCGTTGATTAAAACTGGAAACTGTTCACCCTATGGATATTATGAGAAAATATTCTGTCTACTCATAAATAAATAGAACATACTGTAAAATATTTTCAACATGTTTTTACTTTGTATGGACATTTGGCTCCCACAAAGAGCTAAATACATGACCAAACATACACACAGGCCTCACAATGAATGAATTGTGAGGAGACGTGTTGTCTCGGACGAACAAATCAATTGATTGTTCACTGAGTGAGAACGATGAGTTCATTTGCTTGGTGTCACCTCTGGCGAGCAAATGTGCCATTCAGGTAAACAAAGTGAAACAGTCCTCTGGGGAACCTGCTTAAGGACACTGACCCAGCATTCATTACAGCACTGTGTGAATCAAAACAAAAGGTGAGTCAAATGAGTGGGTGCTGGTTTTAATTGAACGTTCCTGATTCAGGTGTCATAAACACTGTACATATGGCCTTCACGTATCCATATGGAACTGTGATGGTGAAGACAAAATGATTGGATTCAACAGCACTGTGTGTGTGTCTGTACCAGTCTGTCTAAGAGTGTGTGTCTCTGTGTGTAAGTGGAGCACAGTAGGCACTGGTGGAGTTTGGCAGGAGAGATGCTATCGGTGTTATCTGTGGCACAAATCGAAACTCCCCGAGGAGCTGAGAGCACTGCGAGCTCCTCAGGAGCACATTGGGTAAAGATCAGTGCTGGCACACACACAAAGCAAGAGATAACCTGCAAATTGAATTAATCAAAGGCTGGTCAAACTCAACATACGGGGCAAAACTAGGAGACTGGACGAAGACTGAATACCACTGGAATGAGAACAGTCCAGACAAAGACATATCACAAGAGGATCTAAAAAGAAACAGTTTTAGGACATTTCATTGCGATATCTGCTATATAAAGTACTGTGCAAACATCTTGGGCAGAAATTATTTAAAACAATTTATCTCAGCTGTAAGTGTGTGTGTGCTTGTAGAAACACCATTTATCATCAGAAGAGATGCAAACACAGTAAAAAGTAACAAGAATTTCTTATTTTCCCAAAGAACAAAGTTTGGTTCCAGGTTTCTCCCAGCCCTCGCATGGATTTGTCAAATTCCATCACCAGCACACTTGATTTATCACAATAAAGCATTGATTAGCTCATTAGTTACTGAACAATAATTACAATTAAAACTGGGCTTTGAGGTGAGGTTTAGAAAAGTTTAAATCAACACATTGTCAAATTTTCTGAGGTGCCTAAAACCTTTGCACTGTACACACAAATATATGGTGTAGTTTTATAATAATTGTCCTAAATTTCACTGAAAAAAACAAATAAATTCTGTTGAAAAGGCAGATGCCACATATGTGTTTGAAAGTACAGAATATATTTTATAATTATTAAATGTGATAAAGCTGCTGCTGTACAGTCTTGTTTAGCAGAGGAAAAATCATTATTTACATTTTTGCTGTGTGTTTTGTAACTTATTTTTAAATCAAAAAGGTTCACAGCTCCTTAGGGAATGGAATCACTCACAGAACCTTTTTTAAAATGTAGCAGGATTTCTAGGGGTTAAATGTAGGCCCTGCAGACAACTCAATGCAAGGCACGTCTAAGGAGGTAATTATTAGAGGTGCGGGATATATTGTTGGCAATGTCAGAAAATGGGAAAACAATTATTATTATCTGTTTTATATCAGAATTAAAGCCAATAATTACATCCAATAACTTGCCGCTCACAGACACACTCATGCACATATAATCAAACTCTCATACTGCAGAATGAAAACATCAGCAATGTGGAACTTTTCTATTTTCAACAAAAGATAACGTCAGAGTTGCGGTCTGCAACAAATGTTCGGTTAAAGTACAGCAAGGGGGGAAACACACAAAAGACCATCAGTAGCACTCATTTCTTTATCATTCCAGTGGTTTACATGACCTGAAGAACAACTAGCATTAGCAGACAGAATCTACAGAGGTGTAAACTGTCTTTGTTTTTCAGGCATGTTGCCTGTTTTTACTTAACACAAAGCGATTTCAGTATTCCAAAGTAAATTACAACTAGCTTGATGCCAACATAATATTTAAAATCCTTGAAACGTAAAGACACATGAGGGGAAATTAGCAATATGCTAGCAGCTACTTAGCTACTCTTATTACACACTGAATTAAGAGTTCCCATACATTACACATTTTACATATTAAGTGTGAAGGTAATGCTAACTAAGTGTGTTTAGCTCACTGAGGATGTGATTGTGTGCCTGCGCCCCCTGTAAGTTTAGCTCACAAGGCTTTACTCATAGATATAAAAGTTATCCAATAGCAGTTTTTCTTTTTGCAACACACGACTCATTTATAGTAAAGATAAGAGCCTGCAAGTCTTATTAACAAGTCATTAGTGTAGTCTAAAGCCCACTGCACACAGGGTGCCCTGCACAACAGATACAGTACCAAACACAGCTATGCAACACAAACGTGTCAAAGTAATGGCGCCGATAAGCGTCAAGCTCAAGTTCAGCTTTGCACTGTCTCGTATAAATTTAATGAAATAATACTTTCAATATTATTTTTGAATTTACTGTATTTGGTATCTGCTTAGTCTTCACAAACAGTTTCTGAGCTAAGAGATATAAGGTTAAGAAAAGACTGTCATGCAACACTGGCTGAGGTAACAGACCATTTGCATTTATCTGTAAATCTGAAAGATTTGAGTTTGGCTGCCCTTCTTGGTGTAAATTTCAAGCCACATGTGATCTACTATGGCTTTTTGTGGTCTAGTTCTAGGTTTAACCCCTTAAATGGCCAGCATCCACCAGCAGGCCCAAAGTTTTATTACACACTTCTATAATCTAAGAATAGCTCAGCCAGTTTGCATTGAAGTCCCTGTAGTTACTGAATAATAAGCCTAATAAGTATGTAATAATCCTGGGATTTTAACGGTTAATTTAATGCAGTAATGACAAAATGCTGAGTGGTGCAGCATTTTGCAGCTGGTGGTGAAAGTCACCCAGTGCCGCCATGTGTCATTACAAAACGTCCATACTGGTTTTAACCTCTCTTGCCTGTCAGTGCTTATCTGTCATTGTTTTGTGGACATGCACCCTATTTTTACTTAACACAAAGTGATTTCAGTATATTATAGCTAATTACAGCTAACTTGATACTAACGTAACATCTGAAATCCATAAAACCTATAGACATGTGATTTTAGTTTGGCAGCTTTTCTTGGTATTTATTTCAAGCCACAAAGCACTGAGACGCCATGCGCCATCGCCAAATGTCCATGCCATTGTGTTTACCTTCATTAAAAACAATGCATGATGTGCAAAAGTGGTAAAAAATTGTATTACTGTTATCGGCAAAGAGGTCCCATGTTGGTGCATCCCAAACAAACATGATTTACTCAGCTACAGCTTATCTCTGCAGGTAAAGTGTAGAAATCTCTCCATGCATGGCACGCTGTGAGAAAAACAGTGACATCATGCTCACTAAGTGTTTGCTGGTTTTGCTCTACAGAGGAATCAATCTCACTGATATTACATCAAACTTACTCCAAGACTCGGAGAAAAGCAGGGCAATAATCTCTTCCATTGCGCAGTACAAAGTGACCTAAATCCTGACCTCAGGTGGTCTTCTAAGTCCTCAGTACTCAGAAGTAGACCTAAAGTGATTACCTTTAGGGACTGAACATCCCAGTTATCTTTTTTTCACTGTGGGTATACGTTGGCACATGTCCACTCCAGCGACAAGCAGCCTCACATTTTCACTTCCAGATTAAAGTCTCG